CATCATTCGCAAAACATTTACTTTCTACCTGAGCCCCTGGTATTTGCTCATTTTTTCCTTCTCTCCCTGCTCCCCCCTCCCCCATGAGCCCTTGATAATTTATAAATTATTATTTTGTCATATCTTACACCGTCTGATGTCTCCCTTCACCCACTTCACCGCTGTCCATCATATTATTGGCTCTTAGTCACATGCTGCCACCTCCTGAAATGGTTGAATATTGGCCAATTTTTTTTTTTGGTAGAGTGACTCTGTTTGTGTATTCCTTCCTTCTTCAGATGTTTCCTGCGTTATTCAATATTGTACCGTTGTTGTTGTTGTTGTTGTTGTTAGGTGTCATTGAGTCAGTTCTAACCCATAGCGAACCTATGCACAGCAGACTGAAACACTGCCCAGTGTTGCACCATCCTCACAATTACTCCTATGCTTGAGCCCATTGTTGCAGCCACAATGTCAGTCTAACTCCTTGAAGGCCTTCCTAATTTTCACTGCCCCCTTTTTTTAACTTTACCAAACATGATGCCCTTCTCCAGGGACTGGCCTCTTCTGACAACATGTTCAAAGTGTGTAAGATGAGGACTTGTGTCCTTGCTTCTAAGAGCACTCTGGCCATACTTCTTCCAATACAGATCAGTTTATCTTTTGAGTAGTCCGTGGTACTCTCATCACTTCTCCAGCACAAGTAAAATGTATCAATTCTTTTCAGTCTTCCCTATTCAGTTTCCAACTTTTAATATTCTTTCACTCATACAATAATTTAATATTGTAGTTCAAGACTTGAATATTTTTCTTCAGTTCTTTCAGGTTGAAAAATGCAAAGTGTGAAAGAAAGAAAAATCAAACATGGATGTCAATAGAGACTTTAAAACTTGCTATTAAATACAGAATAGCTAAATCAAATGGACGGGATGAAAAAGTAAAACAAGTGAACAAAAGATTTCAAGAGTCAGTACAAGAAGATAAAGTATCATAATGAATGTGTCAAGATCTTGAGTTAGAAAACCAAAAAGGAAGAATATGATCTACATTTCTCAAGCTAAAAGAATTAGAGGGAAAATTCAACACAAAATAGTTCAATAATTCATTAATTGAGTAAGTTGATAAATAAGTCAGTGGCTTGTCTTCTAAGATCCAGAAAGCCATTTCCCCCTTCCTACAAACTACCTCAAATTCAGTCTTAAAGGCTTGGAGTTAAACAGTGGTCATCTGGCAGGGAAGCAAATAAGGCCTCATGAAAGAAGCACACTAGCCCGTGTGATTATGGGGTGTAGACAGGATCAGGTATCAGGTATCAAAAGACCCCAAACAAATAATTATATCGATGCAAAAAGTGGGAATGGGATTGGAGTGGAGATCCAAAGCCCATCTGTAGACAATTGGACATTCCCCCATGCAAGGGTCTCAAGGGATGATACAACCAGGGTGCCGTATAACACCAACAAAACACACATCATTCCTCTAGTTCCTGAATGCTTACCCTTCCCGCCCCCACTACCATGACCCAGTTCTACCTTAAAAATCTAACTAGACCAGAGCACACACATTGGTACAGATAAGAGCTCTCAACACATGGAATTCAGAACAAATAAATCTCTCAGGAACCGTAGTGGGAAGGCGATGGTGGGAGGAGGAGGGAGAAAGGGGGAACCCATCACAAGGTTAGATATAAAGCTCCCACCCCAAAGGGGACGAATAACAGAAATGTGGGTGAAGGGAGACAACAGACTGCATAAGATACGAAAAAACAGTAATAATATATAATTGATCAAGGTTTCACAAGGGTGGGAGGGTGCGGTAGGGAGGGGTAAAAAGAGGAGCTGATACCAAGGGCTCAAGTAGAAAGAATATATTTTGGAAATGTTGATGGCAATATATGTACAAGTGTGTTTAATACAATTGAATGATGCATTGTTATAAGATTTGAAAGAGCTCCCCAATAAAATGATTAATAATTTTTTTAATTAGAAAAACAGGTTTCATGGCCCAATGCATTTCAGAAATGGTATATTATTATAAATATATATACTTTTGGGATTCATAGTATATTCTAATATACAGGCAGTCCCAAGATTAT